TTCGTAGCAAGTTTATAGGTTAAACACATAGTTATTTATATTTGTAATTGATAAACTGTAACTTTAGAATAATTGTTATCTAACATAATTCTGAGCTCAGATAAGCTCTGACATATCTGTATATATTTGCATTTAAGGCGTTATGCTAGGTTAATCAAACTGTGAACTCAAATACAGTGATTTCGAGAACTGACTCGTAACGAACCCCCCTTTTACGTTACATTAATTGGTTGCAGCGGTGGGATCACTGTAACACAGTATTTTATACGTAGTTCCCGAAAATACGAGTTTACCTAAGCTTGGACAATAGTAACTCGCTATGGATGTTTCTAGTGAGGAGGATGGGGGTAGAGACATAGATGCTCGTTTGGAAGAGCTTTTTGGCACTTACAGAAGTAAGGAGGCTGTAGACAGGGCAAGTCCGTTGAGAGAAACACCTCGTCACAGATTTTCAGAAACTTCGCCTGAGTCTGGATACCGGTCCAGAGCTAGCTCCTAACATCAACTGCACGACATGAGCATAGACAATAGTTTTGGTAATAGTGGGAGATTGTCCTCAGCAGCTGAACTCTCAAAGTCTATTGATGAGGAAATCAAGTCGATGAGAGCACAGCTTAATGATATGAAAATCGAGAACGATCGACTCCAAACTCCATTGTCTAATCCTATGACGTCACGGCATCAACGTCGTGTCAAATTTAGGAATGACTACTCCAATGTGCCCAATCACCCAAATATTACTCAGCGGCGCGCCAGTAACAGGCCAGCTGATATTAAGGAACACCAAGATTTTGAGTCTGCGTCGAACCCTGGTCAACTGTGTACAAACACTGTAAAAGTGAAGGCCTCCACATTCGATGGGACCACGTCCTGGAGAGACTACAAGTCTCATTTGTGAGGCTTGCGCCCGCAAAAATGGGTGGACAGAGAAACATAAAGGGCTTTACACGGCAGTGAGTTTGAGGGGACAGACTCAAGGGATCCTTGGTGATCTACCTGTAGGAGGACTACCAATCACTGGAAACTGCTTTGGAAGAAAGGTTTGCTCCCCCTAACCAAAACGAGCTACATAGGATACAGTTGTTGGAGCGTAGACAGAAGGCTGGTGAGAGCCTACCCGAGCTAGGACAAGCCATACGACGGCTGGTTAATTTAGCTTACCTCACGGTACCATCCGATGTGAGAGACACCTTAGCTAAGCAGCAGTTTATTGAAGCTCTGATCGACTCGGATATGAGGATACGGATCAAGCAGTCAAGACCTGTAAACCTGACAGATGCAATCCGTTTGGCCGTGGAATTGGAAGCGTATAACCGAGCAGAGAAATTTGGGAAAGAAGGTCGTTCACATTTACGCATAGCATCGGCTGAGGTTGTAGAGCAGTCTACCGTTGCAGCTGTTGCTACCACCGCAGAGATGAGCAGTTTTCAGAGTACTCTGGAGGGACTTGGGAAAAGGCTAGATTCATTACAACAAGAGGTCAACACAATAAAAGGAAAGACAATGAAGAAAAATGACAGTCAGCCTCAGAAAAAGCGGTGTTATAAGTGTGGAGAAGATGGTCATATACGACCTAACTGTCCAAAGAACAAAATAGTGGTAAAGCGAGCAAGCCACAGGACTCCTCCAAACCTTCAGCCAAACCTCTTCGGGCCCGGAGGAAAAGGAAACCAAATGCTGGAGTAGGTATATCTTCTGCTGTGCATGAAGCTGGTCTTTGTTTCAAAGCAAATTGTTCAGGGACTGGAGACAAAATTACTGGTTGATACCGGTGCTACTATAACTTTGATCTCAAAGGAAGTGTATGATCGCTTACCAACCTCGGTAAAGCCGACATTGAGGGAAGTTGAACAGGATATTCTGGCTACGAATGGCACTAATCTAGATGTTGTTGGGAAAGGAGGATTTCTCTTTAAATTGGAGGGGTGCGAAGAGACATACTTTGAGGCAGTAGTAGCAAGCATTGGTACAGACGGAATTCTAGGCTTAGATTTCATGCAAGCCAAGAAAGGAGTCTTAGATCTCCGACATCGATGTTTAACCATAGACGACTATGCTGCTGAGATGAAATATGAGGGAACGCTTGGGTGCTTTCGAGTCTATGCATCTGAGAAAATCAACCTACCCGCTTCTAGTGAAAAGATAATTTCTGGCAAGGTGTGCTTCCCTGAAGGAAGACAACCAGAATGTAACAGCTTCATAGTGGAAGCGAACGAAAGTTTCTTGAGAAATAACAAAGCATTAGTGGCTAGATCTGTAGAAGCCAAATGCTCAGGGGTTCCAGTAAGAGTAATGAATCTTACAGAGGAATCACAAGTCATATATCCTGGAACATCGATAGCTCAATTGACCCAGGTACAGAGTGTTTTGAGTCCTAGTCCATTGAGTAAGGAGAATGCGGACATCGAAGAATTAAGGGTAGACTTGAGGTCTGATGCAACTCTTAATGTAATAACGGCGCTTAATGTAATAATTATTACAATAAGCGTTGCAACGGCTACGCTTAATGTAATTAAGTTATTTTTATTACATTAAGCGGTGCAACTGTTATGTTTAATGTAATAATATTTTTTATTACATTAAGCGCCGAAACTGTACTATTGACAAATTTAAGAAGGTCTTTAGTGTAATAATGTCCGAAATGAAGGGGGACATATTGAGTCTTCTGTTTTGTATTGTTATGTCATTTTGGGTATTATTAGGGCCACACATCGAGATGCGGAAGCCCTATAGGAATCACCCTGTTCGTCGGTCCGTCTGTCCATCCGGATGTACGGACGTCAGCACTTTTGTTTTCCGATGATAGCTTCAGTTATGATTAGATTATTGATAAGAATGTCATCAAACCTCGCATGTGGCTAAAATGCCAGTTACCTCACTTTTTGTATGCATACACATTACGATGATCCCCGTCAGTCGTGTCATATCAAAGACGTTTAAAATGGCACTTGAAGCTTCCCCCCTTAAAACATTAATACTGCAAGGAGCAAGGGACTGAACGGCCTGGAGTCAGTATAACGGTGTGGGTAATGGGTTGGGTACTTGTATTGAGTCTGCCATGCATGCCATGTACGTATGATATTATCTGCAAATGACTTAAGCTGTTGCGCGGACGTTAATCGGCAATACAACACCACCCTTTCAAGGTCACGCAATCAAAGGGTTATTGCTTTAAACCTAGGAGGTGATAGGCTACATGATCACGGGTCGCAACGACCTAGACCGTTCGGCCACCGATACCCCCGCCCCTCCAAACCTTGACGGGAACATACACCATTAAAGTATATTATTGCTATATTATCTTGTAATCGACACGCAGTGTACTTCCGTAACAGTATAAAATTGTTACGTTAGCGGTAATTTAAATACAACCACAACACTTAATGTAATAAAAAATAATTATTACATTAAACGTAACGGTGCCAACGCTTAATGTAACTATTATTACATTAGCGCCGTTATTACATTAAGAGTTGCGTCAGTCGGAGCTGTTAATTGTTATCACTGACATCTGTCTGATAAAATCTTTCGAAAAAACCAAACTTATGATTACGTTATCATGTAATGGGAATCGAATTTACTGATGAGCTATGTTTTGTTTATCTAAGGACGTCTATTTCTTAGGTAAACATTAATGTAATCACAGAGAATGAAGATTCCATTATGGAGTTGCGGGTGTCGTCGATGAAGCAGAAGACGCTTACTCTTCCGGAAGACCTGGTTTTATTCTTGTACGTTTTAGGAGTCTCCGTGTTAACCTTTCTTTTGTTCATGTTTTGCCCTAGATTTACGAATTTAAGTTTGGATTAGGATTATAAATACATGTTTATATTTTTTGTGTTTTTTGCCCAAGTTTTATTGAATGTGATGTTATTTTATGAGTCTTTATCATTGCGTATCTTTCATGTTATACTTGCTTGTAGAATCAAACTGCGTAATCTCGAACTTGTATAACTCGAGCATCCCGTTTCAAAGCATTTCGTCTAATTCGCCGTATTTTTCACTTAATATTTGATCAGACTTTAATCGAATACTCGAATAAATCAAAGTTTTTCAGGCGGTTCCGCCGACTTTGAAGAAATGATGTTCGCCTGTATCTCTTCAGTACATGTAAAAATGCACTATGATAACAAGTAAAAACATTTTTTTACAAAGGGTAGGACTTGAACAAAACAAGGAGAGTCGTGTAAAGAATGTAACTGATACATAAACATCAGGTCTATCTATTGTTCTAAACCAGAAAACGGAGATAATCCGATAAAGTGCGTCATGTTTTACACTTTATAAAGTGTCCAGGAAACATTGCATCTCATTCAAACAATGGAATTAAATTTTGTACAATAAATAAACACTTTCATCATCTGTGGCGTTACTGATTCAGGCTATTTTATGTTAATAAATCTTGTCTATCACTCGAAAAAATCATAAATCTTGGAGTGAAAATAAATTTAGGAAATACCAGTTTTAACAACTTTTATTTCCGTTGACATTTCAATTTGGTATTTAACAAAAGAGAGATTTGTTTAAATGCCAAAATCTAACAGAATGAAGTTAGACAAGGTTAAACTTTGGTTGAGGTCACAAGCCATCAGTTGCATAGTTAACCAGCAGCATTGTCTACCTCGATTTCAGATGGAGATAAATAAGTCCGTGATATAATGCAGCCAGTATAACGAATAACCAATACATTGACAACATCTCAGCAAAATTGTTATTAAGAAGTATTTATTTAGCAAATTTAAGTTATAAAATCGTGAAATATCAGCATGTTGAATCATAAAATAACAGTAGAAATTAAATTATGACAATAAGATGTTGAACGCAATCAACAAGAAACTATTTATTTCGCCGATGATTTTAGTAACGTCCTTAAATTGTGTTGTTTGAAATGTGAAAGAAATCCGAGCATAATTAAAGTATCCATTCGAAAGATATTTAGCGTATTGATAGAAAATAGAACCAATCTGAATGGCCATGCATAGCAATCCTTAATATGAAGATTAATTATGATGGTGTTCGTGAGAGTGACTGTAGCCGTCGTCGCCCTCGTTGCGGTGATCACTGTCGTGTACGTCATGCTTGTTATCATGACTCTTATGATGATGCGAGTGAGTGTGACTGTAGTCATGTTCGTCCTTGTGATCTTCTTGGTGACTATCATTGCCATGACCATCGTTATGGTGATCGTTCGTGTCGTGGTGATCGTCCTGGTCATCCTTGTGATGATCAACCTCGTGATGATCACCATGGTCATCGTTGTGATGATCGTCATCGTTGTGATGATCATCGTCGTTGTGATGATCGTCATCGTTGTGATGATCATCGTCGTTGTGATGATCATCGTCGTTGTGATGATCGTCATCGTTGTGATGATCGTCATCGTTGTGGTGATCGTCATCGTTGTGGTGATCATCGTCGTGATGGTCATCGTCGTGATGGTCATCGTCGTGATGATCAGTGAGACTTCGCCCGATGACGCAGCACGCTATTGGACCTCCGTGGCTACCATGGCTGTCATCAGCGCCGGAATTAATCTGGATTAAAGTGAGGAGTAAAATGAAATCGAACTCTTCTTCTGTCTATCACGTCTTCATTTGTATCAAATATCATACCTTCATATCTATAAAGATTAAATCGAATTTTAACTGAAAAGAAAACCATGTATATCTTGGTAAATATTTGTATAAAAATTTTTTGATACAAATTTGAAATGACATAACAAACACTACTTACGGCAATAGAACGGCCGATCAGATCAAGTAAATCAGCATGGACAGTACCGGTGTGTTTATACAGGGTATGGTCATCCCCTTCAATATTACCGAGATCGCCGGCGTGACTGTCATAATAAAGGCAATGTGTTCAGTACGAGAATAAACATGGGTTTCGGAATTGTAAATTTATAGCTGACTACAAGAAAATGATAATATAGTTGTATAATTTTACATTTTCAATAAACATTGCCAAAAAGCAAACATGTGTTTTTATGTTGTTGGTCTGATATGGACGGGTAACGGTAGCTCATTGTGTATGATGCATACCTTTATACAAGGATAACAGGCTATCTAAGCCAAGCAATGACCAACTGAAATATATCATTATCTCTGCAGTATAATTGTTTCTAATCTTCTCACGTATCTTTGATTTAGCGTTTTGTTGTAATAAAGGAATCTTACTTCCTTGTCAAATAAACATCATTATTAGTAGTAAGATATATATTTCTTATAATATGCTAACAATTTATTTCTTGAAATGAGTAGTGAAATAACGTACCGATGTAATAAACCGAGGTTCACACATATGCTAATTTCTGGTCAAATACTAGTCTAAAATGTAAACGCCCCTATCACCTCAATGGAAAAAAGAAACCAGTACGTTTAAGACTTACAATATAATCTTAAAATGTTCAAATGTTATTTGAAAGACATAAATGGACATATAAGTTTACCCGGTCTTCGTAGTTGTTCATAGAGAATAGATGTCGATGTAGTAATATATATTTAAAAGCTTGAAACGCTACATTAAAACTTCAACATTATGATAGGTGAAAAGACGCTTAAGATGTACGCATAGTAACAACTATAGCAACCTACATACGACCATATTTACCTATTACCAGCTTCAATATGGCCTTTGGTAGGGGTGTAGGGACCTCCGAGAGAATTACAGCCATTCGTCATGTCGCCTATTTCGTGTATATGCACACCGTGTGGTTGATGGGGCTTCAGATTCTTGAGGTCGTAAATGATTTTAACGTCCTCGTGATCGGGCTGTAATAGCAAATGGAATTATCAACGTACTGATCAATAAAAGTATCCAAGGTTAACCATCGAAAGTGCTCTGTTATGACCAATAAAACTGACGTGGTTGAGACCATCACAAGTAAAAAACAGAAACAAAATACCCACAGGAAAACATAATCATAATCCAACCTCAGGTTTAATAAAACTAAGGCAAAATATGGACAAAAGAAATATCTACAAATAGTCTCCAGAAATAAGTACAAGACGAATAAGACCAGGTGTTCCAGAAAAGTATGCGTCTTCTACTTCTGCGACGACACATGTCATGTAAATCTTTGCCATACATGTAAGTAATGTCACATGAGAGAACAAGGTATACAACAACAGGACCAAAAGGCAAACTAACGAGCATCAAACACGTCCAGCTTCATATCGCACATATAATATTTCTCAATGAAATCACTATGACGACCATAAAACTTCCCCATAATATCATTAATCTGATTATTGAAACCATGTGTTACGAGTTTGCCTTTTTTGACGACTTTTTCTTGCACGTAATAATGACAGCACGTTATTGAACACCTAATCCATCTCTATATGTAAACATTACCTAATTCATCTCTACATGTAAACAACACATTTTAGGGAAGATAATAAGTGATGTTTTGGTAGCGAAACTTAAAGTTGTCTATCTGGTGACAAAGTTGTTTTGGAAGCGAAAATTAAAGTTGTCTATCTGGTGACAAAGTTGTTTTGGAAGCGAAAACTAAAGTTGTCTATCTGGTGACAAAGTTGTTTTGGAAGCGAAAATTAAAGCTGTCTATCTGGTGACAAAGTTGTTTTGGAAGCGAAAATTAAAGTTGTCTATCTGGTGACAAAGTTGTTTTGGAAGCGAAAATTAAAGTTGTCTATCTGGTGACAAAGTTGTTTTGGAAGCGAAAATTAAAGTTGTCTATCTGGTGACAAAGTTGTTTTGGAAGCGAAAATTAAAGTTGTCTATCTGGTGACAAAGTTGTTTTGGAAGCGAAAATTAAAGTTGTCTATCTGGTGACAAAGTTGTTTTGGAAGCGAAAATTAAAGTTGTCTATCTGGTGACAAAGTTGTTTTGGAAGCGAAAATTAAAGTTGTCTATCTGGTGACAAAGTTGTTTTGGAAGCGAAAATTAAAGTTGTCTATCTGGTGACAAAGTTGTTTTGGAAGCGAAAATTAAAGTTGTCTATCTGGTGACAAAGTTGTTTTGGAAGCGAAAACTAAAGTTGTCTATCTGGTGACAAAGTTGTTTTGGAAGCGAAAACTAAAGCTGTCTATCTGGTGACAAAGTTGTTTTGGAAGCGAAAATTAAAGTTGTCTATCTGGTGACAAAGTTGTTTTGGAAGCGAAAATTAAAGTTGTCTATCTGGTGACAAAGTTGTTTTGGAAGCGAAAATTAAAGTTGTCTATCTGGTGACAAAGTTGTTTTGGAAGCGAAAATTAAAGTTGTCTATCTGGTGACAAAGTTGTTTTGGAAGCGAAAATTAAAGTTGTCTATCTGGTGACAAAGTTGTTTTGGAAGCGAAAATTAAAGTTGTCTATCTGGTGACAAAGTTGTTTTGGAAGCGAAAATTAAAGCTGTTTTGGTACTGACAATTCAAGCTGTTTTGGTAGTTACAGTCAAAGTTGTTTTGGTAGTAACAGTTAAAGTTGTTTTGGTAGTGACAATAGAAGTTGTTTTTAGTTTGAACGGTTGATGTTTTCTTTCATCAGTGTAATACTGTAATCTGTGATACTTAACCTGTAATTCCACAAATCCGCGTGAGGAAAATTGCTGTACGGAAACAAGATTGCAATAAAATTGATAAAAAGTGACATTTTCTACTTACCTCCTGAGTTAACTCGACGTGACCCCTAATTCTGTAGGCTAGATCTGGTGTTTTTTTATTGGGCATCATCTCGCAGTGAGCATGGATTACTGACAACAAAATCAAAAATGGCTTTTACAAAAGTCTCATTTACATAAATTGAATGTCAAAAGGAATCCTAACTTTAAAACTTTAACAAGTTCTGCCGTGTATCACAATTTAGTTTATTTGTAGTTTGCACTTGTAAATGAAGGGGATTACCTACTTTTCTTAGCGGGTACTTCTGGTTTATGCTTTTTGCAGCATCCGCCTGAGAGTTTCATGTTGAGGTAGATATGTTCTGCATTTTTGTAATGTTTGGAATTATCTTTGTCATGGTGATCATCGTCATGGTGATCATCGTCATGGTGTTCGTTATCTTGTCCGTGATCCCCGTCTCCAGAATGATCATCATTGTGGTTGTCATCTCCGTGATGATCGTCGTCGTGGTGGTCATCAACGACGGCGACTGGAGATTCATGGTGGTCATCTCCTGAGTGATCCTCGCCGTGGTGATCGTCGTCGTGGTGAACCTCTCCGTGATGATCGTCGTCGTGGTGGTCATCAACGACGACGGCTGGAGAGTCATGGTGGTCATCTCCGTGATGATCGTCGTCGTGGTGGTCATCAACGACGACGGCTGGAGAGTCATGGTGGTCATCTCCGTGATGATCGTCGTCGTGGTGGTCATCAACGACGACGGCTGGAGAGTCATGGTGGTCATCTCCGTGATGATCGTCGTCGTGGTGGTCATCAACGACGACGACTTGAGAGTCATGGTGACCCCCGTTGCTTTGGTGGCCATTGTGACTCTTATCCTGATAGTCATTTCCAATGTGGATGTGAACACCATGACCTGCCTCTTCCAGTTGGTGGACTTTCTTAGATAACTCTTCCACCTTATGTTTCAGATCTGCTACCTCATCCACAATAGCAACGCCTAGAAACATAACATAAAACGGGATAGTTTAGGGTGAAGATGTTAAAACAGTTTGCAGTTTAGTTAAATACCGGTATTAAATTTTCTGGGATTTGGTTCACTTCTTAGATCGATTTAATGAAAATTGGTTAAATGTGTTAAAAACTGTAACATGGCACATTATGTGTTTCTAGGACTGTCACCATGGAAACATTATGAAGGCATCTGAAATAAAAAAATGTCTTATTATGGTGAAAGTTTAACACACACACACACACACTCACTTGTAAAGAGAATGTAACGACATTATCATTGATTGAACCAGAGAACATAGTGAAGAGCAGATATCTATTATAATAGAGAAAGTCATTTATGTAATGTCGAGTATCCAGAATTTTTTTTGGAGATAGATAGATAGAAATACCCCGTACTGCACCAAACCCTAACGATGCTTATATATGAAACTTAATAATCAAGTATAAGACATACAAACATCCCTTTAAACATCAGTGAACAATGCCGATATTGTCTGTGATCATATAAGACTAGAACGATTTTATGCGCATCATATATGAAACTAGACATCATGTGTGAAATATATTGCCGATTTTGCCTTCAGTATCAATGATCACCTGGGTTGTCATATCCTTAATTTAAAACAAACTTACTTCTTCGACGTCTTTTAGACACTCGTCTGGCATCATTCAGATTGGCCGACAGCAACGCCACCAGGGCTAGAATCCACAGTAGTCTCATGGCTGGTACCTTGAGTGTCAATATTAGCTGCTGAAACAACAACTGATGAAAAGTACAGGTAGGTTTGCACAATTTATAGTCTTTATTATCTATGTCGTTACCTTGAGAGAACAGAGGCTATGTGTGTTTATGTGATACGTCAACAAAATATGTGATAACAGGCGGACAACGTCCATCGTCTGGCTTCTGATGGGTTGACACACTAACTTTTGTCCCAATGTGCAAAAATACATTAATGGAGTGTTCACCCTAAACTAGGTCATGCAGGAAACGTAAGATATTTGGAAATAAAATTATATTCTTCTGTTCTTGCTACAGTGCGAAGAACTGAAAAAGAGCTGAAGGAAAAAGACAAATATAATTTTTTGAAAACAAGACCACAAGTTTTCTGGGTACACCAATTGGGGAAGAAGGAAAAAAGGTAGTTGAATGGATGTCACCATTGACCAGATATATCTATAGTGAAAGACATAATTGATAAGTCAATAAAGCATAATGGAAAACGTCGGTATACAATTATGTATAAACCAAAACAGTACAGGGTTGTATGAAGGATTGTAATATTCAAGAATGACAAGCTAACAGTACGTCACTAGAAATGTCGTATAATACTTTTTGTGACTTCTCACCGCCTTGGAAAATTAATTTACGCTGAACGCTTCAGTTTCTTATGAAGGAAGTGAATTTCGTGCTTTAGTTTTGGGCGAAATACTGCATATAATATGAATAAAAAACACTGACATTCTAGAAACTTTATAATGTCAACAGATATCCTATTCGATAATTATGTGGTAGGTTACGGTACCAGATTCCATGACAGAGGCGAAGTCATATTAGTATGGATATGGATGCATTATTTTATATTCATCTTTACTATAAAACATAACAAGAAAATAACAACATATCAACATAATCATAGTGTAAAATCATCATCAGTACTACTAAGGCAAAACGTGAACAAAAGAAAGATTTACGAGGAGACTCCTGATAAAGTTCAAGAATAAGACCAGATGTCTGGGAGACTTAGCGTCTTCTGTAATGTATACAACAACGGAACCAAACAGGCAAACAAACGAACATCAAATACGTCCATCTTCATGTCGCACAAAGAAATAGAAAATTTCTCAATGAGATCGGTATGATCTTCTCCAAACTTTCAATCAACCTGAATCTTTTGAAACCTATAATTTTTTCGTCAGTTGACGATTTCTAGCCCGAAAATCGTGAAAATGGGAACAATTCATTGACTATCAAATCAACTGCTACATGTAAACACCATCTAGGGATGTTAGTGTCCGGAAATGGATAAATCAGAAGTAACCGGAAATGGATAAATGTCAAGTAACCGGAAATGGATAAATCACAACAGGGAAAGTGAAAGCATCACGCTTGGTGGTTTCGTTGAAGAGTATGGCGTGTCTTTGATATCCACTTCTAGTGGGTATATACGATGCGCATAATCAATCAATTTCTTGTTGTCTTGATTTCTTATAAAACGCAGCTAAAATAAAATAAAGAAAGCACCCTGCATTGCAAAGAAATACAAAAATGATGGCAAGAAAATATTTTGTTTCGGATTACAAAGACCTTGAAAAGTCGTTTAATTTTCCGTTCAGACATATTGATGACGATTTAATGTAGGTGTAATATCACTTACATAACTAAATTACAGTACATTCTCAAATTCAACATCTAAATCGTTTACTTATGGTGTTACGGCCTGCTACATTCTAAGCATTACTGAATTAAACCTCCCTCTGATTGCTATTAAAAACAAGACAAAAAATGTTTAGGATACGTCACTGCATGAAGTTATATTTTGTTATAAAGTGATGTTGAAAGTTCAGATAAATGTAGCATCACTTCAAAGCTACATACGTTACCATTTCACAATTTATCCATGTAATAAACTATTTGAAAATCCTTCGTTGTGTAGGTAGGGGTTCACTGGTTGTCGAACAAGCCTAGTTTCCATTAGTTCGAAAATATGAAAATGTTTACAGACAAAGGATTAAGTTGATGGATGCCTTCATATACACCATCATGTACGTTTTCTTGACCTTTTTCAGGAAGATGAACTCTCGCCCATTGTCACCGCTTCACAAATTCGGCTGAGTTTTAAAGCGGAGCTGAAACAGTATGAAAACACATTTACATTTTAAGGTGAATTAATTAGTATATTAATATGATTTAACAAGCACTCTTACGCCGAATCTATAAGTATCTTGAAATTCATATTGCATTTGATGAAATAAGACTCTCGATATACTGAACTTTACCTGAAAAAGTTCTGGCATATTCTGAAGCCATACATTTGGATACTACACAGATTGTTAGAAAGTACGAGTTCACACTGACAATATTTAAAGGGCGAGAACCCTAATTCAGCTGTTGTCTTCATGTCGTTGTCGTCTGTATGGTACTAAAAGGTATGAAATCATTTACTTAAATGTACATAATACAATACCAAAAGACATGAATGCAGCATAATTGATGGGCACCTGATGGTTTTTAGTAAAGTCTCAAAAGGACTTCTTAATGTATCGGATGTAAGTAAGGAAAGACATCACATTTTATAATCTACATCCAGGATTTGATCATTTTTAATGAGCGACCATTACATCGGTATGGCGATCGTTCTCTAAAATCGGACGAATTGTGAGGATACCTCACTATTCAAGGTCATCTTTAGGTCACGTCGTAATATCGAGACTAGGTATATCTATTTTTTCAAAAACGTATTGAATTTATATGTTTGTATATATAATTGCATATTGCTGTATAAATGAATGAATTAATAACAATCTGTATCAATATAAAGCTTATTAAACAGTATCACGTAATCCGCCTATTGTGCGGTGAATTTCTCAATATGCTATACTTGCATATATCACTAGTGATGCAATAAAATGGATGTTCCATTTTTGCTTACTCATATTTTGGTTTGAAATCCCGTGAAATTGATATTTTCTGAGTTGTAGGAGTTATTTCCATAATATCTCTATGAAATGAAAACTCTATCTATATAACCTAGATAGGATAACATTTTGAGATACTTTGAGAGTAGATGGAAGAAAGCGACCCCTCGGCGCAGCTGAATATCTTAGCTGAAGATGAACATATAAAATGTGAATTCTTTTTTTCCTATAGGCAGCAGTATTCACGACTGGGAACCACGAAAGGTTTTCCTGAGTAATCGTAAGCATGACTGAACTGTTAAATACACTAACCGGAATACTGAAAGAATCATGTCTGGCAGAACTTGTTTGCCCCCCAAAAAACAAAAAAACCCATGATATTCTTTTGTGTGGTTTATCAGAGTACTTGCTCCCGAAATTTAATATGTTCTTTTTTGATACATTTCAAGCAGTAGGTTATGATGCTACGTCAAAACCCGTGTTCGAGATGGATCCATTTAAGTACAGATGTAGTTTAAGAGGTGGTGTTGCTCTTCTCTATAAAAAGTACAGACTGACAGACCCAGGATTATCGGAGCTGAGATATGTGTGTCTTCGCTTTATTTTGTACTGTTTTGTAGTTTATATGCCCGTGTCGTCAAGGACGTTGAAGTAAACACGCACAATTGATAGAAAGTGTATATTCATAGGAGATATGAATGTAAAAATGTATGGGAAGCCTTCAGTTACCACCATCGGACACCTCTTTACGTCCTACGTCAACTTGTAACGGAATTAGTGTACAGGGGTGACGTTTTCAGACCTTACGTTGTTCCCTTGTTTGCTGCACCGGATATGGCACCGATAGAACATGTGTGGGATGAAATTCTGAGAAGAATCGCTGCTGCTGGCACTCCGTTGATTTTGGCACAGCTGGATAAGAGACTCCGCCAGGAATGAAAAAAAAAATTGCCCGAGGCATTCTTCCAGACTTTCAGCAATTCCGTGAGACAATGTTGCACAGCCCGTATCAATGCCAAGGGCGGACACATGCATTATTGACTGATTTGTGATTTTCCTTAAATGGGAATACCTTCATTAAATAGACAATATAAATTGTAAGTTTTATGAAATGAAATCTAGCCACATTTTGTTTAATAGCAATTTTAACAAACTATTGAATAAATATGTAAAAATTCAGTTCCTGTTTTTGATTTCTTACAAAAGGGCAATGAAAAACCAAACTGTGGTTGTCATCCTAGTGCGTAAAACCCTCTAACTACTGGTATGATAATAAAGCCTGAGGTTTGTTTGGGTGGGAGTTGTGGTTGTCATCCTAGTGCGTAAAACCCTCTAACTACTGGTATGATAATTAAGCCTGAGGTTTGCTTGGGTGTGAGCTGTGCTTGTCATCCTAGTGCGTAAAACCCTCTAACTACTGGTATGATAATTAAGCCTGAGGTTTGTTTGGGTGTGAGCTGTGGTTGTCATCCTAGTGCGTAAAACCCTCTAACTACTGGTATGATAATTAAGCCTGAAGTTTGTTTGGGTGTGAGCTGTGGTTGTCATCCTAGTGCGTAAAACCCTCTAACTACTGGTATGATAATTAAGCCTGAAGTTTGTTTGGGTGTGAGCTGTGGTTGTCATCCTAGTGCGTAAAACCCTCTAACTACTGGTATGATAATTAAGCCTGAAGTTTGTTTGGGTGTGAGCTGTGGTTGTCATCCTAGTGCGTAAAACCCTCTAACTACTGGTATGATAATTAAGCCTGAGGTTTGTTTGGGTGTGAGCTGTGGTTGTCATCCTAGTGCGTAAAACCCTCTAACTACTGGTATGATAATTAAGCCTGAGGTTTGTTTGGGTGTGAGCTGTGGTTGTCATCCTAGTGCGTAGAACCCTCTAACTACTGGTATGATAATTAAGCCTGAGGTTTGTTTGGGTGTGAGCTGTGGTTGTCATCCTAGTGCGTAGAACCCTCTAACTACTGGTATGATAATTAAGCCTGAAGTTTGTTTGGGTGTGAGCTGTGGTTGTCATCCTAGTGCGTAGAACCCTCTAACTACTGGTATGATAATTAAGCCTGAGGTTTGTTTGGGTGTGAGC